CTACTAACTGACAATAGGTTAGTACTAAGTTTAGGAACATGCAAAACTGAGGACAAGGAAATGGCATCTGATAATCTAATGTCTCCCTTCCCAGAGATGAGAACAGGAGATCCATCAGCAATGGATACTCTATCTCTACCAAAGGATAAGCAAAATGTAGTAAACAGAGAAGATAAGCATGTCATGTGGTCAGATGCACCTGAATCTATGACCCAACAAGGTCCATTATTACCTGGGCTTGAAACATGATATGCTGATGCCCGTGTACCTGAATGAGCAAATGTCAAAGTAGGAGTAGTAGAAGTAATCAGTGGCTGAGATGACGGAGCTGAAGTACCAACTTCACTTTCTAACTAAGCCAGAGCAGCCCAGACAACAGCTAAAGTGTCTAGGGATGTGGCTCTTGTGCTAGAAGAGGAAGCACCATCAGTAGTGACAGCCACATTGGCATTCCCTCTTTTATTTCTGATCTTTGCTGGCATTAAATGAGGATATAACTTCCAACAAGTGTCCCCGGTGTGCTTCAGCTTCTTACAGTGGTCACAAACTATGTCCTTCTTATCCTCCTCTTTGTGTCCTTTTCCTTGTCACCCCCAAATTTCGGTTTTACGGCTGTCAAGGTTGATTCCATAGGTTGAAACAGTGAAATTGCAACATAACCTTCTTCCTACTTTCCTCACTATGCACTAAAGAATAGGCCTAAGATAAGGTCACACTCTCCCTTGTTAGTAATTGTTGTCTCACAATATCATAATCTGAATTCAGACCAGCTAGGAATTCAAAAACCCTATTGGTTTCAACTTGTTTTCTATAGGTTTGTGCATCCTTGTACCTTTCCCACTCAATAGTTTCTAGATGATCAATTTCATGCCATAAGGATTTCAAAGTGGAAAAGTAAACTGAAACCGGCTTCTCCCCTTGTTTGAGATTATTTACTTCACATTTCAGTTCATAGGCCCTAGCAACATTGAGAGGCTGAGTAAGTTTCCTTCATCACTTCCCAAATCTCCTTAGTTGTTATTGCCCACAAATAATTGCGGCTAATATGAGGCTGCTTAGAGTTACACAGCCAAGTCATGACCAAATAGTTCTCTTGAACATATTTGGCATATGAAGGGTCTTCCTTGGCTGGGGTTTTTACATCTCCATTCACATAACCTAACTTCCCTCTGCCCCCAATTGCCATCATGGCTGACTGAGCCCATTCCAAGTAGTTAGAACCATCAAATTTAACATTAGTGATCTGAAAATTGTTTTCTCCCACGTTTCTAGGCCCCAAAACCCCTTCCCCTTGAGTCTTAAACTCAACTCCTGCCATTTTTGTAAAAGGTTTATCACGAGAAACCAGTTCTCAGCAAAGGAATTCCCCAAAAAAACAGGTTTGGAAGCTGAAACAGGTCTAGAATTCACTTAGAGAAGAGAGATGGAAATAAGATGAAAACCCTAGGCAACCAACCTAGGGGTGATGGCAATTAGGGGTGGCAACGAGCCGAGCTTTTTACGAGTTGCTCGAGCTCGGCTCGGCTCGGTTTCAGCTGAGCTCGAGCTCGAGCCCAATTCAGTGGCTTGATTGTTAAACTAGCCAAGCTCGAGCCTAGTAGAGCTCGACTCGTGAGGCTCGCGAGCCGGCTCGAATATATATATATATATACATATATATATATAGAGAAATAATATATATAATAAAAATATTATAATTATTAATTGTTATAATTCTTAATTTTTTAAATATAAAAAAATAAAAATTATATATAATTTTTATTTTTATAAAATACTTTTTCTAAATATTTTTATAATAAAATATTTATAAAATATAAAATGAGCCGAGCCGAGTCGAGCTCGAGCTTATGAACTCTTGATTTGAGCCGAGCTTGAGCTCAAGGTTCTAGCTCGAACCGAGATCGAGCTCGAGCTCGAGCCTTGTACAATAGTCTCGAGCCTGGTACTATTTGGCTCGGCTCGGCTCGAATCAACCCCTAATGGCAATCACACCTTGAACTTGGCAACCAAACCAAATTCTGTAGAGAAACTTTCTTGTTCATTAGCAAAAACTGTTTTCAAATGAGCCATACAAGCTTAATAAAAAGAAGCTTTCAAAGGAAGAAACTTGCCCCCCAAGTTAGCTTGCCCAACAAGCCACTTACAAAAAAGCTAGATTAGACTAAACCTGCCCCAAACAATTACAAACATAAATCCAAACAAATGGGAATTACTAGACTAAGAATTATTAACAAACATAACCCCCCCCCATGCAAAATTACAAAAGTACCCTTATTGTCTAGAAATGTAAGAAAGCCATATAAGTCCTATCCAGCAGCAAACTCAACCACACCAAAGAGCATCTTAAGGTGGATTGTCATTATCTCTCAAGATCCCTCTTATACCAAATGGACCAAGGTTACCTTGGCTACTTCCACCAAAATTCAGTTAAACAAAATCTGCATATCTACAATAATACCCTTCTTACACAAAAAGCTTCTAACCACTGCTGTGCTGACCAACTTCTCCAAAAGTCATTGAAGGTGAAAGACTAGAACATATAAGTCATTCTCAACCAATGTATTACCCTTGTCATTTATTAATCTCTTGTTCTTTTGTGTCTTGCATTTGGGAATTTTTCTGTCTTCTCTTTGCTTGCAAATGGATTAGAAACCACCAAGAAGTGGTGGTAGCTTTGTCTTCAGGACCAATTAGCTATGGAAATTCAATTAAGGCTGAAATAATGACTCTATTACAAGGGTTGAGACTAGCAATACAGCTTGGTGTTAAGGATTTGGAAATTGAAGGAGATTCAGAATTAGTCATATCCTAGACCAAGCAAGTCAATTTGGCACCTTGGAACTATAGACATGCTTTCGGGGAAATTGACCTCCTAGCAAAAAAATTAATTCTAAGTTCAGATGGGCAAGAACTGCAAATGGGATGGAAAATGTATTAGCAAAACAGGAAGTTGACAGACCTCTTTTATTCTGGGTAAAAATGTAATTTGATGTGACTATGGCCGGTTGGAATATTCCAACCAGAGTTTCTAGAAAGATTATATGGTGCATTTCAGAAAAGTAATTAGCACCAAATAGGTATTTGGGCCAGATTAAGGGCATGTATGAGAATCCAATGACAATATAAGAACATATGTGAGAGGAACATTAGAAATTTTAGTAATTATGAGACTCACCAAGGCTCGACACTTGGCCCTTACTTGTTTGCACTAATCATAGATGAATTGACTAACATATTCAATAATCCGCGACAAAGGAACAATTGAGGATGTCATGTCTGTCACCTACAGAGTTAGAGCAGAATGAGCAGAATGGAAGGGTGCACCAAAAGTCCCATGTGATAGGAGAATACCAGTTAGGCTAGCCAAAGTAGGCAATCAAGAAACATGTCAAAAAAATCAAGTATGGCAGAAATACAAATGTTTAGATGGATGAGGGGAAAACTAGAAAGGATGGGATCAGAAATGGACTTATTTGAAGGAACCTAGGAGCTGCTCTTGTGACGACAGTAGTTGATAAAAAAACATAAAATAAGGGAAAGTAGACTAAGATGGTATAGTTTGCTCACATGCAAAGAAGACCATCTACAGAACCACTGAGAAGAAGTGATCTGTTACACATTAAGGGTCCAGAAGAGCCAGAGTGGGAAACCAAAAATGCACAGGCTGTAGTGAGAAACAATTTGATGGCCCATAATTTATCAATGGTATGGCATGATGGCATGGAACAGTGTGCAAAGTTGGAACAGGACTCATGTAGTGAACCCCATGTAGTTGGCAACTTGGTACAAAGGCTTAGTTGAGTTGAATAAGTCCTCTCAAGGGTAGAATTTTTAGAATGGATAACAGAAGTGGGGACTGGGGAAATGTTAAAATAGTCAACAGCCTCCATAGGAGACATCACGTGCTCAGCTTAACCAGAGACAACTAACCATCCATTATTGCCTGGCTACCGAAGGCATCTTCCATGGAAGGTGCATGAAATGTTTGAAAAGAATAGACAGTAATATGGAATATGATGCCTTTGATATATTTTGGCCAATGTGGCAAGAAAGAAAACATTTATTTCGTTACTGATCAAAAAAAGAAAGAAAATGCTCATACGTTTTTAAGGAAATGCATTATAACTCTTATTTGTTTTTTTCTTTTTTATTTCGAGTTCTGACAGCTTGTTTACGAACTCAATTCCTGATACATAGTTTTATTTCATGCATTCCCATTGCACAACGCCTTGTTTTATTTCATGCATTCCCATTCCACCTGCACCCCAAGTTCCAGAAGTTCTCAAATTATTCACAAAGCAATTTTTTTGTCCTCTATACAATATGTGCTGAAAAAACAACCAATGCTCAAACCTTCATGCTAAGTTTCATAAAGAAGTTCAAGTTCTAGATCAGTTTATTTTAAACCTTTATCTTTACAACCTCAGGTCAACTGTGCAGTTCTTTGTAGTTTAACCCAATAACCACTCCTAATCAAATTGTTCCAATCTGTTAGCCAAACTTTTCTATATATATTTTCTCTGTATCAATACAATTATACTTCACCTCTTGAAAAAATCATCTCCTAATAGTAGATTTAGAAGCAACCTGCCACCCTCTAACAAATGATCCACCACAAAATTTATGAATCCACTCCTACTCAAAAACCTAATAAGCAAAGCTGATGGTTACCATATCAGTAATAATTGCCATGGAATTAAGGTTTATCAAAGGAAAAACATGGAATTTCTCTCCTCCAAAATGCTACACAAAGCAGTTGCTATACTCCACTTATACAAAACCATTCTCTTTCTGGATCAAAGAGGATGAAAAAAAAACTGAACTCAAAAAAAATATGTATTGGAAACTTGGAAAACATTACAAGATGGAGCTTCTCAATTCTCAACTAATCATTACAAATATTTGATGAGGAAAACACTACCTAGATGAACCGCATCCAATTAATGTGGCATGCTAATAGATACAATGGTGACAATAGTTGAGCGTATATGGTTCCTTACCTCTCAATAATATCAGAAAAAATGCATCTAAGAGCTGCATCTGAGAAAAAAGTAGCATTATTGCACAGATGAACCCCATTCTTGATGGCATGGTATGGGATTGACAATAAAGAGTCAAGACAGTGCCACTGAAACAACAGCATTATAGTTATAAGTCATCTTTTAACACCAATTATATCAGGGGCTTATTAATACTCATAAGTTGCACACCATCTTTAATTTAATGCTTAATAAAGACTTGAATGTTACCAATCAACAAAAAAAAAACAGCTGCAAGACTGGTAATGTAGATAATAGCAAGAAAAAAGAAAAATGTAAAGCAATAATTGTGACATCAGATATGCCAGTAATTATGATAGAGAAGTGAATAATTTGTTAATAAAATTTTCCTTCTATATTGATGATGCACATTTTGGCAGCTCCCAGTTGGCAGGTGACTCGGATGCCTGGCTGAATAATCCCTACCTGGAATGTGGCTTGGATGCCTAGCTTAATGGTTCCTACCAAAAAGGTGGCTTGGACGCCTAGCTGAATGGTGACGAGCTGGTGAGGTGGCTCTGATGCCTAGCTGAATGGTGACAAGCTGGAGAGGTAGCTCTGATGCCTAACTGAATGGTGATGAGCTGGAGAAGTGGCCCTGATGCCTAGCTGAATGGTGACGAGCTGGAGAAGTGGCTCTGATGCCTAACTGAGTGGTGACGAGCTGGAGAGGTGGCTCTGATGCCTAGCTGAATGGTGACGAGCTGGAGAGGTGGCTCTGATGCCTAGCTGAATAGTGACGAGCTGGAGAAGTGGCTCTGATGCCTAACTGAGTGGTGTCGAGCTAGAGATGTGGCTCCGATGCCTAACTGAGTGGTGACAAGCTGGAGAGGTGGCTCTGATGCCTAGCTGAATGGTAACGAGCTGGAGAGGTGGCTCTGATGCGACTTGCAAGGAAACAGTGTCAGAGTGGCCAGGTTGCTTTACCCGGGGTGGGCACTCTGATGCTTAAGTCAGCGAATCAGAGATTTTTAAGATAGCTAAATGTGAGAGAGCTAGAAAGCTGCGAGAACTAAATCGCGCATCTCCCTGGGTCTCAGGGGTTGATGCCCTTATATAGCTGGGCTGCTGTGGGTCTCGCGAAACGCTCCCAGAATCCTCGGCCCACAACGTAGGGGTCTGTTCCACTTTAGAAGGAGGATAACGTGCCAGTTAATAAGGTTTACCATTTCCCTCCGATTAGGGTGGGATGAGGATAAGGCCTACAATTACGCGACGTGATCCCGAAAAGTTCGGAGACAACTGGCAAGCTTCTAGAGATGTAGGTCGCCAAGTTGCTAGGTCAGCAGAAGAGGTAGGCCGCTAGGTTGGCGGTAGAAGTAGGTCGCCAGGTCGGCGGCAAATGCAGGTCGCCAGGTCGGCGGCAAATGCAGGTCGCCAGGTCGGCGGCAAATGCAGGTCGCCAGGTCGGCGGCAAATGCAGGTCGCCAGGTCGGCAGCAGAAGTAGGTCACCAGGTCAGCAGCAGAAGTAGGTCGCCAGGTCGGCGGTAGAGGTAGGTCGCCAGGTCGGCAGCAAAAGTAGGTCGCCAGGTCGGCGGTAGAGGCAGGTCGCTAGCTGGACCCCATTTTGGCTAAGGCAAGTTGTCGCCTAGGTGATGCTGGGATGCAATCCAACTGTACTGATATGCCATGTGTCATGATGTCAGTGGAGGGCCAAATCTGCCCTCATCATATATCTTTAGAAATTGCAGAACTTCATAATACAGAAGTGAGCATAATAACATACCTCTAAGGATATGGCCCCTGATAGAGTGAAATGAAGACGATTCATGTACCCCCATTCATTTGAAACCATTTGAAATAAGGCTTTTACTGAGAAGAGTTAAGTTCAGAATTGTATGAACAACTTACCTTCCAGTTCATCAAAACTGCCCTTCGACTTCGTGCCAAAATTCCAACCGCAAGGAGATCATTGATGTTATTAAGAAAATTTGAAACCCAAGAATCCAGCAACGGCTTGCCCTCTAATTTAGGCAGCAAAGATTCATCATTGGTCATTATTGAATTAAAATCCCACAAAGGAAAAGCAGAACCTAGTGCTTTCAAAACAGGAACCAATGCTTCATATGATGCAAGACGAATTTCTGCTCCCATCTGCTCTGGGACATTTCAAGAAAACCAATACATGGAAGAAACGAAGAATCATGGAGTAATCAATAAGAAATTTCTGCACATTGAAAGTTCATATAAAAATTCCACCATAAAGCATACCTCTGAATCAAATGTTGGACAAGAAATAATTCTTGCAAATGAACGCCATAAGAAAGTAAAAGCATAACCAAGAAAACTGTCATTTTGGAAACGAGCACACCAAGATGAGATGGATGCAATAGTTCGAATGGACTCTATCTGTCAAAAGAAACAAGCGTCAATAAAGAATAATTACATTGAAGTTATAGACATTAAGTGGATCAGTTGTAGACTGAGAAACCATGTACTGATTAAAAGATGTAGAAAATAAATTAAGGCATATCCAACATCCAAAACTGATGAACCAGCAACGGTCAAATCACGTGGCATTACACTCAGCAGTCCACCCAAGAAGAGGCACAAGGAATTCAAGCATTCACCCTAAAGACAGAAAATATACAAATAGAAAAGTACAAGAACTTTTTTTTATCAGCAATAGAAAAGATTGTATTAAATTAGAGAAAAGCAAAGGAAAATACAACTTTGGGTAGCCTCGGCTACCCCATTACAACTTAACAATGTGCCCTATTGACCCCTTGTTTTGCTAATTGATCTGCCAGGCTGTTATCCGACCTTGGCACCCACCAAATATTCAACTGCATGTTCCTTGACAGTCTTCTAAACTTCTTGATCTCATTTTTTGAAGTACCATGGAACCTTTTCAGGCTGTTTCAGCCAACATATGACTACTTTTGAGTCTCCTTACAATTATTAGCTTGCTAGCTCCTATCTCAAAAGCTTTTTGCACCTCAAACAGCATTGCATTCCATTCAGCTGTTATGGAATCCCCAGGATTAAGTGAACCTGAGTAAAGTCCCAACATTATTCCACTTTCATTTCTTATCACCCCTCCTATTCTCAAGGGACCTGGATTACCCAAGCAACTTCCATCAAAATTCAGTTTAAAGAAGTCTCAAGTGGTGAATATTTGCCCTGATATTCCAATATAATAAAACTGACTGAACTGTTCGACCCGGACGGTTGAACCACTAACCCAGAAACTGGTGGCCACAGCAGTTCCATTTCCGGGTTGGTTTTTAGAACCTTGGTAAAAAGCCATGGCGAAACCATTAGGGCCAGGAGATTTAAATCTATCCAACAAGTACAAGAACTTTTGTTGATAAATGAATAATAACATAAGGGGGGAGCTAAACTCTGTAATAAGTTGTGTGCATATGATGAGGTCAAAAAGAATACCACGATTTAAAGAATTTTCTAGCAAAAAGCTCTGAACTTCGATATCCCGAGGAGTTCATGGCTGCATTGAATTTTCAATCAATTATGACATGGAGGTTGACAAACTGGCAAATGCAACTTTTCCTCATTTAATAGTTGATCCTCAATGTGTTTTCCTTGGGTCTACCTCAAGGCAAAGCGCAAGGCATAAACATCACATGTCTTTTAAATACTAGATGCAACTATATACTTCTTTATCCTTTCAAAAATAAATAAATAAATAAGCTAAAATCAACAGAAGTTTGGTCAGGTGTAGCCCTAGTTTGAAACAATCCTCCTAATCCTGGTCTAGACAAGCTATCAGCTAGCAAGTTTGACTGGAAATCCATCTAAACTAGTTCTTCACTCTAGACATCAAAGCCCTAGACTCTCCAATATGATGTCACAATTGAAAGGTGTTGAGTGGGCAGACTTGTGTTTAGTTTATTTCCTTTTAAATTAAGATGTTGTTGGGCCTTGGGCCCATTAGTTTTTATTTTTTAAAGAGCTGTAATTACTTAGGTTGAGTTGCCGCCCTACTAAGGGCATCTTTGTAATATCTCATACTTAAGTTAATTATAAATA